TGATTTGGTCCTTTTCGTAGGAAAAAAGGGGAAATTTGACGTATATCCAACTAGAAACAAAAGAAAATGGGAAAAGCTGTGTCCAAATTTAAAACCCTTTAAGTACGAGCTAGAAAACCCCAGGAGGGTAGTACAGGTTGTTTAGTATTCTAAACACAATCATCATTGAAAAGTTGTTTCTCATGAAGGTGGGGGGCAGACCACACAGGAGAATGTTTAGAAACCACTGGGGTCAGTTCTTACTTCTTCCCTTTCCCCTTATTTCAAGTAGGGGAGACAAACTGGGTTTAGGGGCAAAAGGGGACGGGAAAAACATAAGTTTCTATTTAAATTTAACAACAACCTTAACAAGGGAAAAACGGAAAAACCCATCAAAGAAATATTGAAACAAAAAGGGTTTTGAAGCGGGCGGACATTGGGGTTGGGGGCATTACCAGGGGATGGGGTGTTTGGGGAGTAGAGTGAGGGGTTTGTGAGATTTGGGGGTGGGGAGTTGCAGCATGTGCATTTTTTTTTTCAATGTGGGGGCGTGCGGTACCCGCGCGCGCGCGCGTGTGTGTTTGGGGGTGGTGCGTGAATTCTTTTTATAGAGAATATAAAAGAGCGAGGGAAATTGTAACGGAAAAATTTCACCTGCAAACATGAACCAAAGAAAGGCAGTCAGCATGAACATCTCTAGTGAGCTCAGGAACATCTGAAACACGATTATTTCGACATCATCTAAACACAAAAACAATATCATGTCATCGTAAAAAATTTTTTGAAAAAAAAATTTTTAATTTTCTAGTAAAAAATATTTTCACTTTTTCCTTTTCAAAAGACATTGAAGTCAGCCATCAACAAACAACATGCAATTAAAGGTCAACTGACAACATGCAATTAAAGGTCAACTGACAACATGCAATTAAAGGTCAACTGACAACATGCGACAGTTATAAATTACAAATCAACACGACCAGTTAACGTAAGGCACAGCCTGTTCAACCTACGTGTAACAAATAACTTTTTTTTTTAAACACAACTTTCAATCAATTTGCCTCACACAACTTTAGGTAACCAACACAGCTTTCAATCAATGTGCCACACACAACTTTTAGTTTACGTAACACGCACAACTTTCAATCTATGTGCCTCGCACAACTTTTTAGTCCAAATAACAAACACAACTTTCAATCTATGTGCCTCATACAACTTTTAGTCTACGCAACAAACGCAACTTTCAATTTATGTGCCTCACACAACTTTTAGTTTCCTTAACAAACACAACTTTCAATCTATGTGCCTCACACAACTTTTAGTCTATAAAACAAACACAACTTTTAATCTACGTGCCTCACACAATTTTGAGTCTACGTAACACATACAAATTTTAATCTATGTGCCACATATAACTTTAAGTCTACATAACAAACACAACTTTCAGTTTATGTGCCTCACACAACTTTTAGTCGATGTGCCTCACACAACTTTTAGTCTAAATAACAAACACAACTTTCAATCTATATGCCTCACACAGTTTTAGGTAACTAACACAACTTTCAATCTATGTGCCTAATACAACTTTTAGTCTACGCAGCAAACACAACTTTTAATGTATGTGCCTCACACAACTTTTAATCTACATAACACATACAACTTTCAATCTATGTGCCTCACACAACTTTTAGTCTATATAACAAACACAACTTTCAATATATATGCCTCGCACAATCTATGTGCCTCACACAACTTTTAGTCTATATAACAAACACAACTTTCAATATATATGCCTCGCACAATCTATGTGCCTCACACAACTTTTAGTCTATATAACAAACACAACTTTCAATCTATGTGCCTCGCACAATTTTAGGTAGCCAACACAACTTTCACTCTATGTGCCACATATAACTTTAAGTCCACGTAACAAACACAACTTTCAGTCGATGTGCCTCACACAACTTTTAGTCTTTATAACAAACACAACTTTCATTCTATGTGCCTCACACAACTTTAAGTCTACATAACAAACACAACTTTCAATTTATGTGCCTCACACAACTTTTAATCTATATGCCTCACACAACTTTAGGTAACCAACACAACTTTCAATCTATGTGCCTCATACAACTTTTAGTCTACGCAACAAACACAACTTTCAATTTATGTGCCTCACACAACTTTTAATCTACGTAACACACACATCTTTCAATGTATGTGCCTCACACAATTTTGAATCTAAGTAACAGACACAACTTTTAATCTATGTGCCTCATACAACTTTTAGTCTACGTAACAAACACAACTTTTAATCTATGTGTCTCACACAACTTAGAGTCTAAGTAACACATACAACTTTCAATCTATGGGCAACACACAAGTTTTAGTCTACGTTAAACACACACACACACACACACACACACACACACACACACGAGCGCAACTTTCTGGGACCACACCTAGACTTGATTATTCCAACCAAAAGTTTATGATCTGTCGATGTCAACTTGACCTGGTCTGGCAGAGAGACACAAAGACGTCTTGTCATCGCTGCACCATAAACACATGCAGACGTCTTTACTTGTCCGCCCCTGGGAGGTATCATTGTTTAGACGTGAATCAGGCCAGGAATGTGTGGGAACTATTCCAGATACACGAGTGGGTGCCAGATACCCGAGTCGCGAAAACTAGTTCCAGATATCCGAGTAGAGGACCTAGTTCTAGATATCCCGGTAAGATGAACTATTCCGGATTAACGAGTATGTGGAGGAACTAGTTTCTGATGTGCCAGTAAGGGGAACTACTCTCAGATTACCGTGTGTGTGAACTAGTTTCAGATATGCCAGTAAGGGGAACTAATTCTAGACTAACGTTTATGTGGAGGAACTAGTTTCAAATGTGCCAGTAAGGCAACTACTTCTAGAGTAACGTGTAGCTGGAGAACTAGTTTCAAATGTGCCAGTAAGGGCAACTACTTCTAGAGTAACGTGTAGCTGGAGAACTAGTTTCAAATGTGCCAGTAAGGGGAACTAATTCTAGACTAACGTTTATGTGGAGGAACTAGTTTCAAATGTGCCAGTAAGGCAACTACTTCTAGAGTAACGTGTATGTGGAGGAACTGGTTTCCTCGTAGGTGGTCATGTTTCGCCATCTCGCAGTCAGCAAAGTCATGGATCGGGTCATTGTTCTTGTCTTCTCCTCCTTCTCTCTGTTCTGCAGCCATAACTATAATTGGAAACTTCTGGTTGTTCGTGCACTTGTGAACTTTCGTGTGGTCCCAGAACTGGAGTTTAAAGTGCAAATTCGTTTTTTCAGATCTGGCTTACTTGTGTGTGGATTTTCGGTCCTCGTCTCTCAGACAGAGGCACTCAAACTTTAACAGGAATACCCCTAGTTAAATCGCCTTTTACGACATTCTTGTTGTGGGATCCGTGGCTCTATACCCCCCCCCCCCACGCCTTCTCCCGCCCTCTCCCGCAACAATGGGGCCCTGAAACCATGAAGGGGGTCGCTGCTTTAGTTTCCTCAGATCCTTATGGCCATATCATCTTGGTATCTATCTCTCTGCCTTTTCCTTGATTGTTTCCCCCTTTTAGTCCTGCCAGTCGGCGCAGAACTAGAACATTCACTCTCAGAATATATCCGTCAAACATTGACTACCCTTGATTGTTCTCCCTTTTAATCTTGCCAGTCGGCACAGAACTAGAACATTCACTCTCACAATATATCCGTCAAACATTGACTACCCTTGATTGTTCTCCCTTTTAATCTTGCCAGTCGGCACAGAACTAGAACATTCACTCTCACAATATATCCGTCAAACATTGACTACCCTTGATTGTTCTCCCTTTTAATCTTGCCAGTCGGCACAGAAACTAGAACATTCACTCTCACAATATATCCGTCAAACATTGACTACCCTTGATTGCTCCCCCCCCCCCCTTTTAATCTTGCCAGTCGGCACAGAACTAGAACATTCACACTCACAATATATCCGTCAAACATTGACTACCCTTGATTGCTTCCCCCCCCCCCTTTTAATCTTGCCAGTCGGCACAGAACTAGAACATTCACTCTCACAATATATCCGTCAAACATTGACTACCCTTGATTGCTTCCCCCTTTTAATCTTGCCAGTCGGCACAGAACTAGAACATTCACTCTCACAACACGTCCGTCAAACATTGACTATTGACCTATTATGTCTCTAATTTCTCTCTAATTGCTTGCATTGTTCTCAGACCGCACATTTCCGCCAGTCAATGTTTCATCGTCTGTTCTGCTTGGTGTCCGTGTTTCCCTTGTCTGTAACAATAAAGCTTCTAATAAGATTTCAATACCCATGTTCTCATAGGTGACATGTTGTTCGTCCATCACAAGTGATGAGGACTACCGTTTCTTGTATCCGTCATGAAACTGCAGTTGAATGTTTATGAGTCCGGAGGTGATTTATGAGCCCAATATGTGCCCGAAAGAGTCTAGGTCAATGAGAGTAAGTCACAGTGTTTGTAAACAAAGGGCCTGTTTGGCGGTTCTTTCTGGTTGTCTACTCTGTTCAGCTGCCCTTGTTCTAGATGCCTCTCAGATCTTTGCACCATTTCGGACAAATGTGCGCCATAAAGTCCGGTCTTGTGCTGCAGTATCCCAGTGTCAGGGTTTATACCGAAGGCTTTCAATGATAACTTTAGTGTGTCCTTGAAGCGCTTTTTCTGGCCACTATGAGAAAGTCGACCTTCATGTATCATCATCATAGAAGATTAATTTAAGGAGCCGATGGTCAGGCATTCGAACAATATGACCAGCCCATCAAACCTGTGACTGCATTAGGATGGTTTTGATGCTGCTAATACCTGCCCTGTCCAGTAAGTCAGTGTCCGGGACAATTTCTTGCCACTTAATGTTCACTTCTTTCCCAGACAGACTGTATGGGAGTGGTTGAGTTTTGTGTGTGTGTGTGTGGGCCTGACATCTGTATACAGTCCAAGTTTCACAAGCATACAGTAGCACTGGAAGCACTGCGGATCTGTATACAGTCCAAGTTTCACAAGCATACAGTGGCACTGGAAGCCCTGCGGTTCTGTATACAGTCCAAGTTTCACAAGCATATAATAGCACTGGAAGCCCTGCGGTTCTGTATACAGTCCAAGTTTCACAAGCATACAGTGGCACTGGAAGCCCTGCGGTTCTGTATACAGTCCAAGTTTCACAAGCATATAATAGCACTGGAAGCACTGCGTATCTGTATACAGTCCAAGTTTCACAAGCATACAGTGGCACTGGAAGCACTACGGTTCTGTATACAGTCCAAGTTTCACAAGCATACAGTAGCACTGGAAGCACTACGGTTCTGTATACAGTCCACGTTTCACAAGCATACAGTGGCACTGGAAGCACTACGGTTCTGTATACAGTCCAAGTTTCACAAGCATACAGTAGCACTGGAAGCACTACGGTTCTGTATACAGTTCAAGTTTCACAAGCATACAGTGGCACTGGAAGTACTGCGGTTCTGTATACGTTCAGTTTGGTTTGCAAACTGGAGCCACTAGGATGCCAGACATTTGTGTATAATCTGTTCAGCTACCTTTAGAGATTCTGGTGCTCACCTCATCGTTGACGGTGACGTTCTGAGACAATGTACTACCGATGTATGTCAATCTCCCCACAACCTTGACTTTCTGAGACAATGTACTACCGAGGTATGTGAATCTCCCC